GACAATGCTTGGCGAGAGTTGGCAGCCAACGGGAAAACAGAGAGTACAACTAGATAGAGAGACGATATATAGGGTTTTTGTAACAGTCAAGCAGGGTTGGGAAGTAACTCGTTACTTGTAACGAAGTTATAGTTACAGTTACATTTTTTCAGTAACTGTAACTTAATTTAGTTACTTTTTTCCCACCTGTAATGACTCCTGTACACAGGACGCGGAAATGCTTGCCGCGCGACGGAAGTTCGCTCAACAGCCAATCAATATGCTGCTTTCCGTAATAACCTTCTAGTTCTTACGGAAAAACAACATATTGATTGGCTGTCGCGCGGACTTTCGCCGCGCGGCAAGCATTATCGCGTCCTGTGTGTAGGAGCTATAACTTAACTTAGTTACTTATTTACTAGTAACTTGTAACTTTTTAACAATTACTTTAATAGTTACTTGGGAAACATAAAATAAAATTAAAATTATATAGTAATCGTATATTAATTTAATAAATTTATCAAAGTATGGAACATGATTAAATTCTTTTATCTCTACAAGACTATTATTAAATTTTTATTATGTTAAGTATAGATTTGAAATTTGTTAAGTGGATAGACTAATTAATGTGATAAATATTAATTATAAAATTTAATTCTTACATTTTAGTAAAACTTAAAATGTAAGATTTTTGTATTTACAATAATAATTAACAATCATTTCAAGAAAGTAACTTAAAAGTAACGACTCATTACTTTTTGAGTAACTGTAACTGTAACGAGTTATTTTTCATAGCCAGTAACTTGTAACTGTAACTGTAACTACCCAGGTAGCAAGGTGACGTCTAAAGACGTCATTAAAACGTCATAGACGTCTTAATAACGTCTTAATGACGTCTTTAGACGTCACTTTGCTACCTGGGTAGTTACTTTTAAAAAGTAACTTTCCCAACCGCACAGTTAAATTATAGCATGTTCAACTGGTTCAACTGGGTTAATCTATTCTGGGTTATTCAGCCTACGTTTATTGGTCGAACAAGTACTTATAAACTTATGATTGGTTAGTAGAGATTATGACGTCATTAATCGCTCTCGGAGCGATTAATCCAGGGTCAGTCGAACACGCTATTAGTATAGAGTAGATAGCTTTTGTTAGAGAGAGTTCCTGAGAAATTGTATTACGCAGAAGTTTTAATTTGTACAATAGTAAGAAAAAAATATATATTGTAAAGTTAAACACGTTTTTATTAATCTCTATATATGTATGTGACAAGTCGCTACAGGTTGTATACGGTAGCGACTTGTAACGGAAAACTTCGAAACTAATTTGCGAAAATAACGGGTCTAATAATTCAATCCACTTGTTATTTTTATAAATTAATTCTGAAGTTTCCGCTACGAGCCGCCACCATACTCACTGAGAAACTGAAGTAGTGATCCCTTATAGAAATATCATACTAAGAATCATTCATAATTACTTATTATCCAGTATTTTTAATACTGAAAATAAGTAATTATCAATGATTCTTAGTATGATATTTCTATAAGGGATGTACTGGAAAACAAGTGATGTATTGTGCTTGAATTGAAGTGGTTTAATAATGAAAATTCAAAATTAAACGAACTGTTACTTCTGTAAAAATTACTATAGATAAGTGGTTTAAAAAGCACTTTAAAGCTTCAAATTTTTACTTATTAGATATATTAAATTTATATTATAATAGTTTAGATATATTGAGTTAAATAAGAAATGACGACTATCAAATTTTCAATCTCATCTTTTAGTTGAGTTTTTACACTAAAAATATACTTTTATCATAACTATGATCAATACATTTTAAAAAGAAAAGTTAAAATTTTTTATTTATTGCTTAATAAACGTTATATACCGATTCGTTTACCTATTGTCAGCCAAGTAATAACTTCTAATATCTTAAGAAATATTTTATATAAACTGAATAAAATATAGAATATATATTTTGTGCTATTTTACATAATTTCACAGTCCAAAATTAATTTTTATTTACCTTTTTTACTAGTAGAATAGTAGTATATTCTTAATTATATTAATTAATTTTTATATAATAAGATTTAAACAGTTCGATTATTTATTTCGCGAGTTTCGTTTAAAATTTTCATAATTCTATTTTTCTGTGTTTAACAGCAAAAACTGTGATACTTGGTCACAGAAATGTCTTTCTTGACTTCTTTGATTATTTATTGCAGTCTGTATATATATTTATATCAACCTTGCGGAATGTTGTTTCACTAATTTTTACATAAATACGGAAATTAAATTATGTAAACGAGATGCTCATTTCCTCTTCAGCAAAACCGGTAATTACGATACTTCTGAGCGAGTGTGCCATAAAACTATAAAATGTGTCTTTAATTGAAGTATATTGGAACACTGTAAATCAGGAAGCGATGATAAAGCCAAAATAAGTCAGCCGCGTAAACGCTGCAACAGGAAGCGTTCGGGCCGCTGAAAACAAACACTGTCTGATCGATTACAAAATTTTGCTCGCTAAAGAGAGAGAACTAGCAATTTATATAAATGTAACGTCAGGGAGAAGAAAGGGAAAAGAAGAAAAGGAGAATATTATCGACGAAACAGTCATGAAGTCTTCTTTAATCCTGGGAGTCGTTTTGCTGCTGACGATAGTGCATATCGCTCAAGCACGCAAGGCAGGATGCATTACTTGCGGAGGAAGCTTAGGCTCAGGTATGTAAATAACATTTTATCGCACGTATGTATCGTCAAGATTACTATTTAACCATTTACTACAACACGTTATTAAAACAGGGTATGCTTTTTTTGCTCAAAGTAATTTCAATATTTGGAAACTCTTCGTGCAAGCGAAAAAAGGAGAGAAAATTTTTAATCCAATTTTGACTCGCGCGCAGAAGTAACAATGCAAAAAAATCGAGATATTTCAATATTTAATTCTCAGGCACTAACCCGTGTAAGTGCGGAGACGTAGTGGTGAAAGCAGCGAAGGTGCAGAAGCCGTTACACTACGCGACTCCGGAGGCAATCAACGAAGCAGCGACTGCACGCGAAGTGGCCCAATTAATGTCATTAAGAACATTTCCTGGGAACGTGGCGTCCTTTCCTCAATATAGTCAGACTAATGGATTATACGGTGTTAGCAGTGACATTAGTCACAGTAGCAGCAGCAGTAGTCACAGCAGCTCTGCAAGTTCCTCGTCTTCCGTCGATCTTTTTGGAGGATCAGTCAGAGGAGACTTCAATAGTTTCTATCCTTTTTCACAAGGACATACGCACAATTCCGGCTGTGGATGCAGGAGTAAATCTAAGGTGTCTCTAAGCGACTCCCTATTGCCTAATACTCCGGAAAATGTTGTGCCCAGGTACTTGATACTATAATCTTTTTATTGTAACTATTGATAGACGAAGATCTCGCGAAGAAGTCTCGACGATTCGCCAAGAATCTTGTGAACGTGACACGGATCAATTGAATATTCTGCGTCACTCACATCTAATATTGCTATATCTTTCATTTTCTCTTTTATCTTCTCTGAACGTTTCACGTGGTTCATCGACAGATTCCCGCCAATCGGCGACCTGTGTGACCCGACCAAACAGGTCAGTTACGAAGTGACTGACCACTAAAGTAACTCCGGCGTATCCTAAGTTGAATTTATACCGTACCTCCTCCACGCCTTTATGCGTGAATGTAGTCAATGGGAAAATCGACAAAACCGAATTGGAAAAACTCGCCTCGGCGACCTCATCTAGCGGCATCGGCGGACTCGGGGTGTTCGATAGATTCAACGATGGATCCATTAGCGGATATTCATCCGGTAGTGTGGGTATATCTGGTAGCCTTGGTGGATACTCTTCCAACGAAGTGAGCAACTCATTTGGATACTTGAATTTCGGATGGGGCGCTTCCGATAAGCATTACTCACAGAATTTAGGATCAGACGCGAACATTCTTGGAGAACGGTATAGTACGTTTGATAACCGTATCAACCCTTGAAATTGAGCTATCAAACATTCAATCCGCTACTTTGACCGCAATACTTACATCAGGAATATCCAGTCTCTATAGAAGTTCCTGAAGTGCCGCTTCCGGAAATCTCTACATATGTTTCACTTCCTATGAAATCCTACGAATACAACATCCAGATTCCGCCGCCACCGATCGAACGAATACCGACCATTTACAATTTCGATCTTCAAGCACTTCCACCGAGCCCGTAAGTGTATAAAAGTATTTGTCACCTGTTAACTCTTAAAAGGATAAATTACGTTCGAATTATGGAGTTTACAGTCCCGAGGTTTATTTACAAATAATCTTGGAATGTTTCAGGTTAATGTTAAAAATTTTTCAAGTGATAGCGCGTTTCTCTCTATATTTTAAATATAAATCTATGTATATATATGATCTTATTTCAGGATGGTAATAATGCCGATGGAACCTCTTAAATTTTTAACGGGACTCACCAGCAGAATTGATAGAATTGTAATTCCCGCTTGCGAAAAACCATACTGCAAAATTTATGAAGACTATAATTACGTTTAATAAGATCTTTTGTGTATATATAAATAATAAGATACGTAATAATCCAACACGAAGAAAATAAATAAAGAAATTTAAAAAAATAAAACTGAGTTTTAGAAGTCTTTCACTCCTTCACATTTACACTTACATTTACGTTTCTTTATATTTTTATGTTCAAGCAGTGATTCGTGATTATTCACGAACGCAAATACTGAAATGAGAACTGATGCACTGAGAAAAAATAAGTGTACAATCTCCCGGGATAATGTTGATAGATCGTGCTTGGTCACGAAGAGCATCGCAGATCAGTTTGGATAATCTCACGCAGCGTCGGCTCATATCTGAATTGTCGATCTTGTTCATCCAACAATCTCCGATGTTGTCTGATGCAGTCACGATCTTCGTGCCGAATCTGCATGTAATAATGCGGGTTCTCGAGGTATATGAAGCACCTTGATGCAATTGAAATCATCGAGTTCCCATCGGGACACATCATGGAGTATACGCAGAAAATTCTTGTGGTGGTCGCCATCGCCTTTTTGGGCTCCTTATCTTTAATAAGTTCGGCGGCTTACATTAAGAAAGATCTCAATTTTGCGAAGAACTTTGAGAAAAACTTCAACCTAGAATTGCCACGGACTTTATTACGCGAAAAAAGACAGAGCGAGCGTTTCGATCTTTCTTTGACTGAGAATAATGCCGCGGAATTGGAAGATCTGTCTGAACTCGAGAAAGTCCATGATAGAAGGGCGGTCGCGGAAGAGATCCAGGAAGCTAGTCTGAAGTTCGAGAAGATTGAAGAGCAGGAGAAACGAAGCGCGCACAAAGAACACAGTGATAGTGAGGAAAATACTCAGGTAATTTGACACATACATTTTATTTATTATCAAAAGTTGGAAATAGATCAGAACAAGAATAATTCGAATGTTTCCGCTGGCAGGATGAAGCAGTTCCGAAAAACGTGCACGACGTCATCCGTGCATTGTACACTAATAAGGAGGACTCGACCGAGGAATTATAGCAGGAATTACAAGAGGTACTCGACTGAAATTTACACATCAAAATATAAAATTACATTATATTGTTTGCGATAGTAAGGGGAATAGGAATATTAATGTGTGATTATTAACAGTTAAGATTATATGAATCTAATTATTTCGTAAAAGTAAAATCGGGAGATACAGAGTTTAAAGAAAATCAGAATTCAACAAGATATACGTTCAGTTTATTAGAAAATTATAAAATTAAACGTCGCGTACATGACTAAGGATAACGGGATGCCTTGCAGAACTCCACCGATCCTGATGACTTCAACAAATTATTGAAACGTCATTTGCACATTGGGCATCCAGGGATAGTTGGCAATATCCTGGGAGCAAACTTCTTAGAGGAGATTCCTTTGGAACAATTGGATAGCCATTCCTGCATGGTCGAAGCCTTCGACTACGGCCACTCGCACGATTCCGGCTTGCTGATGCACGAGTTACTCTGCAAGGTGAGGAAAGTCCCCCATTATATACGGGTCGGCATGCGTAACTTGAAATCCGAGCTCACCCTGGGACCTATGATCACCGAGAAGTTTGAAGATGATGTTCTCGGCAGCTTTCATAGACACATTCCGCAACTTTTCGAGGCCGTTATCAAGGAGCCTCACCATTTACTGATCTTACCAAAGATAATTCGAGATGTCGTGCCATTCAAAAGCATCTTCCACGCTATTCATCGAATCAATACCGCTTTCTTCAAGGTGGTGCACTTTGTGCATAACATGATAAGGAAACATCTGTTCCAAGTCGCCAAAAACTTCCTGCTCCATCACAATTTGGGCTTGCATTTGCTACGCATTTTGCACCACTTTGGAAAATTGCACTTAGTGGAGAAGGTACTTGGGTTGACACTTCCGCACTTGGAAGGCATCATCGCGAAGCCAATTCTGTCCCCGGTGACCTTCTATGATGACGAGCTATACACTCCAGAGTACCACCATTCACTTAGAGAGGTAATCGCTACCTTCCAAGGTCTTCACGACGGCTATTTCGCTTCCGGAATACACGATCTGTTCAGGTCTGGCGTAAGGACTTTCTGTTCGGAATCAACAAGGTCTACAATGACCTCATTTTTGTCGACAATACCCTTTTTAAACAACTTCGTGCCGTATTTGGACACCATAACTACAAAATTCTCCCCCGTCGACGTGAGTCCAGTGGTTAATCCCATATTTGAAAATTTCGCTCCAGTGGTGGCTCCAATAATAGATGGCCTCCAGTAATCAGTCCGTTTGGTCTAGGCTCAGTAGTAAACCCGGTAGAACCTGTTGTTCTTATCGAAACCGAAACCGAAACCGTGCGTACGTCCGTATCCAGCGAATCCCGCGCGTCATCCATCGTCGAGGTCGCTCCAGAGGTCGCTCTAGTAATAGAAAGTCCTGTAATCAATCCGTTAGTAGGTTATTCAATAATAAATCCGGTAGCATCAGTTTACCCCGTCGTAACCAAAGCAGTGGCGCCTCTCGCGTACAGCAAAGCTAGCGCGTCATCCATTGTCGGTGTACCCAATCTAGTAGTGAGTCCGGTAGTAAGTTCCAGTAATAAGTTCCTTTGGTCGTCTAGGCTCCGTGATAAGCCCGGAAATATCGGTTTACCCCACCGCAACTGAAGTGACGTTTTCCGCGTCCGGCATGGCTAGGACGTCGTCTATTGTCGGTACAAGTAGTCCAGACTTAGCTGGCTCCGTAGCATCCGAAACCGTGAGTTCCTCCACATCCAGTTCTACCAGCACTGTCGTTGAAGCGCAACCGGTGGTTGCTACCGAACCTGTAGTATCCTATGTGGCACCAACGATGCTGCCACATACAGTATCTGCAGTCCCGTATGTTCCATCTTCCGTTGTTTCGGAAACCACAGCTATATCCGAGAGTAGCTCCAAAAGTGTGTCCGTAACTGAATTTGTGGCGCCCGCTCCCGTTGTAGAAACAATTCCCGAAGTCGTCGATTGCGGACCGGCACCCGTAATAGTTTCTAATGAACCCGCAGTGGAGAGCTCTGTAACGACTACCGCTTCCGCGTCCACAGTCACATCTTCTTCAGCCTCGAACGTCGCTACGATTCAGCAGCATCCATCCGGTTTGTATCCGAACGTCATATCCGCTGTCGCACCTGTAGCACCTATCGTTAGCACGTCTGCCTCCAGCAACGCGATTGTCTCTACGACCGACCATCTGACTAAACCGATTCCATTCGCTGGATACGGTCTAAACTATCCTGGACTCTCTCTGGCCCGACCAGGATTTCTTTCGCCCCTGTCGTTTTCGCGCGCCTTAGCGTCGGCCGTGGCAGCCTCCAAAACTGTCTCGACAACTAGCAGTACGACCAGTGTCATTTCCCGACGAAGCTTCGTTCTGCCCAAAGAAAAGATCGTCAACGTCTTAGGTAGCGACTGCATACTGCCAAAAACAAGGCTGTCTTGTATGGTAGCGTGCTGGACGCTAGCAGTCCGATCACATTCATCTTCCTGAGACCAAAGCTGTATAATCCTCTTCTGCGCAGCGGCGCTCGAGTCTGGAACGTCCTGCATAGCGATTTCACGGACCTTGAATGTGTCGAAATATTCAATGATCCGGCGCTTTTAAGCATCTATTAGATTTTAGATACTGTGTGCGCGCAGTATCTTGCAACTAGTCTTAGATCATTATCGACTATCAATTGTATCAACATGTATTAAATAATTGTAATCCGGTCGATTGCAAAAATAAAGATCTGTCCTCTAAATGACTATGTTAATTTTCTACCTAGATAACTTTCGTAATAAATTAAGTGAATGTGATATTTCAGCGGTTAACGTTTCAATATAGCGTAGCGCATAATAATAATTTTAACACAATTTATTTTTCTGATGTGCCCTTCTCGAGCCACTTGCGAGAATTGTGAGTTAAATTAAGTGAAAAAAGATTTTTTGTGTAATTTTACAAAAGCATTAGCACATATTCGATACGAGTGTATTTACACAAATGTAACGAAATTGTATTCCAGGTGTTAAAGATAACCCACTGTTCATTTTCGATAAGTAACTTTTTATTTTGCAAATGCTTATTCCCGCATAGCATAAGAATAAATATGTATGACTTAAATTCTAATAATAACCTATTTTTTAATTTTACATCATTATGAGTGAATAATACACATGCCACGTCCTTAATATAAAAAGATAATATTACCGTTGTCACGGTTCCGGTTTCGCTCGGAGCGGTCGGATGACCTTGGTGTCGTTGGGCGAGCGATCGTGATACGCGAGGATACGGTGGACGTGCTCGCCGGTGTCCAGAGTCGGGGTCGCGAGTGTGAGCTGGAGTGCGCGTATGCGCGGGGTGTGGGTGCGTGAGTAACTGCGTTGATGTGTGGATTTCGAGATAATTTATTCCGCTGAACTTACGATTAAGTTACTTATACTTACAACTATCTTGTGGCCCACGAGGGCCTACCCTATACTTACAACTAATTTATAACTAATTTATAACTACCTTATGACTAACGCGGGCTTATCATTAATTTACAATTAGCTTATAACTAACGCGGGCGTCTCACGGGTCTATTCTATCGCGTGTGGGTTACCCATGGTCCTACTCCTAGCCGCGGTGCGCGGAGCGCCTGTCGCAGTTTACCCGGCGGACGCGGGTCAGGCTTGTGTCGGCGGAACGGTTGTACTCGGCGCGGTTGGTGGCGTGCCTTGAGGTACAGGTTGGCAGGTGAGGAGGCGTACGTGAGAAACCAGCCACCGGGGAGCCCAGAGCTCTGGGCAGAGACGGTGAGCGCGCCACCTCTGGATCCCTTGGTCGCTGGAAAACCTCTTTTCTCTTTGTACGGACCTTGAGGGCAGGTGAACACACCTTTTCTTGCGGTCGGGTCTCCAATCGGCAGGGAGGTCAGGAGCGCATGACCGAGGCGGTGAGCGCGCCACCTCTGGTTCCCGTGCCTCTTGGGGAGCGGATGAGGCGGACGACCGTACTCGGGGAGGATGAGCGCACCTTCCCGTTGCGGCGGTTATCAGGATGCTGGTGGTAGCCAGCGAGAAAGAGGCGAACGTACCAAGGCGAGTACGGACGCCGCGGGACTGCTCTCGTATCGTTATCGCGCCTTGCTTATATACCGGCCGGCTCGTAATTTCGGCACGTACGCCGTTCCCCCACGCGCGGGCATCCGCGGCGGTGCCGCGAGCCGGCGGCGGTTTTGGTTTTATTTGTTTGGCGCTTTGCGCCTATTACACGACCCGACAGATGTTCGGTCGGGTCGTGGTGACGAGGAGGAACGTCTCGTCACACCGTAAAACTTTTTAGAAATATTTCAAATTCTAAATTTTTCAGATAGTGCTTGTTATCATTACATTCAATTAGATTAATTAGACTATCGCGTGATTAATACGTTTTCGTAAATAGATTGGATGAAAAACTCGCTGACGAATTATCGTGACATGTCACGAGATACATATTGATTATCAGACTCTTAAAAGTATCTTCACAATTCGATCATTGCATTTATTGTTGCAATACGTGTTGTTATCGGCTAAATAATCTTTCGGCATCTCATGTGTTCCGAGGGATTATCATCAAATTAATCTCCAAATATTCATCAGAATACTATCGGGCATATATATGTGAAACACTGAATTACAAAGCATACTCTTCACATATAAAATATTTACCCTAATGTCTCTTGAATTTTATGGTATTTATGATAAAAAGAAAGTTATCACAGTAGGTAGAGATATCGAAGCCTTAGCAAACCAACGTCATCGACTAAGTCCCCGAAAAATTGACATAAATTATTGACTATGTGTGTGTACGTGTGTTTTCTGACAGACTGCCATAATTCAAAAGTCAACAATATGTGGCGTCGTATCCCTTGTCAGTAAGAGTAAAGAAGCGTTGTTATGTCACAGACATTACGATGTCTGGCACGACGTGGCAAATCGATAATTAGCCGTTTCAATTTATCATGTACCCTTATCGCGTGCAAAGACGTTATTCAGCCGAGTTGGCGCAGGTGTTCAATTTCAAATAATACGTCGGCAAGTGAGAACTGTGTTACCCCCGTGGGAGACTTGGTAAACAAATTGCGAACAATATATAAGGGTACCAGTTCGAAGTAACTTTACTCCATCACGGTTTCTCAACCTCCTATCTTAACCAAGCCGCACTCACAATGGCACGCGCTATTTTCGTAGTAACTGTACTGGTGGCCCTGTGCTGTACCAGCCAGGTAAGTCAAAATAACGATAATAATAATATAAGAGAGCAATTATTGCGCGATTCAAGAGAAACGAGTACTAAGAAACAGTGAAATTAAATTTATATTCGAACAAAAGTTATCACGCTTAGCGATTGTTGTGTAAGACACGTCGTTGAAAGAAAACTAAATGTATAAAACTAAATGAATAAATTGTCATCGCGAGTTTGTACGCGAAAGTGATAATAACGGACA